TAATGAGCACTAAAGATATTTTCCCACAGGACTGGATACATCTAACAGGTGGTTGGAAACGTGCAGTGTACATTATTGCAATATGTAGATTTAAACTTACATATTCTGCAATATAACTGAATTTTATTTTCTAAATCTTAGTTTTATGGTAAATAGTAACACTTGTTTAGGCTGAAAACCATAAAATTCATAATTATGGAGCATAAATACAGATATGATAAAYGTGTATTGTACAAGTAAAATCAGAACAGCAGTTCTGTAACTTTATGAAGAATTAAAATTTCATGTACATGATAAATACCATGGTTTTCAACCAAACTGGTGAGAGAACACTACTGTTCTTTCCARAGGCAGTGTGTTTCAATGGAGACTCTGTCAGGACTGTAATGGAATGAAAAACTACTTCAAAAATATATTAAGAAACAATACTAACCAAAAGGATTATTTCTAAAACTGCAAGAATTTTAAGGAAAGCATTATGAAAATATTTGTGGCACTACCGAATCCATCAGTCTGAAGCAATCCAGCAGATGACAGGGAGCTCSCAGCCAGACAAACGGCGCAGCAGAGCAGATGCTGCTCTCACATTGCCTGACCCTGGATCCCATCCCACCCGTGCAGCAGACCCAGAACAATTACACTGCAGCTCGGGGTGTTAGCAAGCCTTTGAAGGGAGCATCTGGTTCAACTAATGTTTTCTCTGCTCATTAATAAAGGGAACAAGCTGCAGTAACTCACAGAACAGCACACAGCCTCAGCAACAAATAATGACCATTAACTCCACACAGTGATGACATTGCCAGAAAATATCATATGCTTTTGGGTTTTAYACATTGTCTGTTCCCCACAATCAGAACACTTTCTGGTGGGGAAAGCTTAAATCTGTATGAAAAAGCAATACAAAACAGTCCAGTGAAATTCAGAATATAACAGAGTTAAACAGTCTTCTTAATTTGCTACCTTTTCTGTTTTTTAAACGGAAAAACATTTTTGTAATCAAACCCATATGAACAGTTGTTGCAAAATATTTATTCTAATTTATTACACACATATATGTGCCTTTAGTAAGGGAGCCAAAGTGTCCACCACAAATTTCTATCAAATTATTTGGTCCCAATAACCCTCAGCTTGCTGTTCCCAGCTGGAAAGACTGTTCCTTTTAATAACCAATTCAATAAACCGCTGAAAAATGCTTTGTATAATATAGTATTGCCATAGATCTGCTGTTTGTCTCTGTCATTACATATTGCATTCAATCAATTTACAAATGTTGCTGTGTTCCTTTTGTGCTAGTTCTTCTTATGGCATCCTGAACACAAATCTAAAGATCAATACCTTGTCTACTGAAAAAAAAAAATTGGACATAACTAATGAATAATTTTATTTATAATAAAAAGTCCTGGTCCTTAAATGGATTCTGCTAATGTCGAAATTCATTTTTCATATTTAACACAAGATGAAAACAAGCACCCTGCAAAACACCATGAGAAAGGCAGTGATAAAAACCAGTTCATATTCATTGAAGATGTGAAAAAAACCATGTAAAGCTCTGGTGCAGGGCTAGGAAAATATCAATAAAATGGGAGGTCATTCCCAAGGTATTTGTTACCATATTAAAGCACAAAAAGCCCATGTCAAAGAGCAGATGCAATTTGTTTCAAACAGCACCACAGTTCAGCTCTATGGAACTATGGAAGCAGCAAGGCTCAGAATGAAGTAATTCAAGTAAGAAGCCAAGGAGAAGCTGAGCTCATGCTGTTTGCATGAGCTGATTCAGTTGGTCTTGTGCCTTTTGTGTGACAGAAACAATGCATTTGCTGACTGCAGACACACCCCTGCCCTGCTCCAGCTATTGAGTAGCTGCCTCTTCCAAAACAGCCACGGAGCTGCTCACGGGAGCCACGAGTGACTGCTTTTCACAGTCACTCTCTGCAGAGCAGCAAACGGACAGAACTGAGAGGAAACAAGGACTACTGGAAAAAAGGGAATGGGTACCTGTACAAGGGTATCCCAGAAAGCTTCCAGAGTACCCAGCTCACCTCTGCCCCAATCCCAAGCTCACACACTGAACACAGGACTCCCATTCCCACCCAGACTCTTGGCTCCTCAGCAATTCACAGGCAGTAGCAAACCAAAATCATACAATTTCAGTACAAAATAGCAAGTCATCATAAAAGCACACCCCAAAAAATCAGTATCTCATTATTTGCGACTCTCCCCAGTACCACGTGCCTCCTTTCTCTGGAATCAAGCAGAAGAGCAGAGCAGGTACAGACCCCTCATTTGTCACAGGTGCTAAGTGACAATGTCTTCGGACAGCCTGTGGTCACACACCTCTGAGCCTCAAGCATTTGCCTGTTGGGTCACAGCAAAGGGCCTGGATGTCCTAAGGGGAACAGGCACAATCCTGCACCCTGACCATCTGCAGCTCTCCTGCATTGTGCCACACCAAAAGAGGAGAATGCCTCCTACTGTCACACACGTGTGCACACTGTAGCTTGCACTCTAAAGGTTCCAGTTCARTGTCAGATATCCCTTACTCAATAATAAAAACCCAGCACCTTCCTATCCAAGAATCTGCAATAAYCCCTCAAAGGTTCCCAATACAAACACATTCCTGAGTCCATGAACTTTGTGCATCCATTGGGCAGAAGTCTAATGCTGGGAAAAACGAGGCAGCTCTCTCCAGGAACAGGAGAACTCTTCCCTTGCCATAAAATTATATTCTTACTCTACCTCTTTTTGGTTACTATTAGTACAATTTACCTTTCAACTATCAAGACAAATTCACAGGATTGGCAGCTCAAAATAAATTAAACAAAGCTTTGCAATGCGTTAACTGAACAAGCCTGCTTTGCTCAAGTCACAAACATTGCTCAAGTCACAAACACTGAACTCCACAGGGCCATTGTGACTGACTTTTTTCCAGAGTATAGTTTTATTTTAAAACTATTACAGCAAATTCMTAATTCCAATCCTATGTTCTGTTTYAAGATGGAATTTCAACCTTACTAGTTAATTAAAGCCACCACCTGGAGTGAGCTGGCTTTCAAACTGATTTYCTTTGTCTCTCTAATTCACATACATTAATATTTTATTTTCTGCTGAAAAAAAGTCACACGTGCCAAAGACAAGGCAGATAAAATTATTGCAATAAAACAAAGAAAATACACTTGTTACTGCCAGGTCTCAAGATGAATGCTGCATTATACAGACATTTTAAAGGCTTACAACTGCAAATTGCTCTATTTTACATACTGTATTCTAGCCTTTACATCAAGATTGCTCCTAATTCCTTCTTATTGTAATGAGAAAATAAAAAGGTTGGGTTTTTATTACCTGAACATTTATTCAATGGAGAAACAAAGACTACATTATATATTACAACACAAGCTATTAAAACAATGTGACACTATAAAATACACTGCAATACTCATTATGGGATAACAAAGCTAAACCCTGAGCAAATAAATGTATCTGCCAAAAGTCAGCAATAACTATACAACTAGTGTTTATAATCTTTAATTATTTAAGAAGGAAAGAAGCTTGTAATAATTAAGTTTTATAGGCTCCTTAACTTGTCATTACTAGGTGCTCACAGAACTTTAAAACAAGAATCTTTCATCTGAAATACTCAATTTTTAACAACAGATGCAATTGTTCACTTAATTGATTAATTTTTAAAAAAATAATTAAATATTGGTTTTAAAACCTGCACCCACAGAACAGATAATAKTTTACTTACTTTCTGATCCAGATAATGCATAAGCAACACACTGCTCAGGCACTTACAGGCTCTGCAGTGCACAGTGACCAACGTGACACTGTCTTTAAATACCTTTGAAAATGGCTTTTGTTATGACAAATCTGTAAATCACATTGGATTTACATCGGGTAGTTCAGAAATTCAGAGTTCAGAAAAACTGTTAATTTTATTCATTAAAAGACACTGGTGAAATCTTTTAAGTTTCTCTAAAACTATGCATCATTGCCATGATCTGACTTCTGATACACTCAAACACCATTCAAAGCAGGTGGAGAAGAAGAGTTCAAAATTGAACAATTATAATCTTCAGAAGTGATGGGAGGAAAGGGAGCTCCCATATATCAGAAGAAATACATTTGTGGTCTTAAAAATAGGTATTAAAGTTTACTGTATTTTAAACTACAAAGCTAACAAGAAAACTTTCAATAAACTTCAGACAAGTTTCTTTTTTTTTTTCACATATAGTCAGTCACTGCCTGAGTTCCTACTAAAATTCTGCCATGGACCTCTATGGAAAAAGTGATCAGTCTTCATTATTTCTGAAAAATTGCACTTTAAGCCACTGAAATCAGCACAAGTTAGAGAGTAGCAGAATTTTGACTGGAAAATAACACACTGCACTACAAAATACATTAAATATGTACATTTAGCCTCTTGGATAATCAATTTCCAATCCAGTTTATAACTTGAGAATTTTACTTACAACATGGGGCTTCATATTTTCACCATGAAATGTGTGCACTATACAGATGGTTTATTTAATCCATTCCCACCTAAATTAATCAAAGCAATCTGTCCCAAAAAAAAAATCTTCATAAGTCTTCATACTGGACTCTACTGGCATTTGACAAATAGTGTACATTTAGCCAGGAAAAGTTGAAAATCYTCCATAAAAAAGTTACCACCTCTAAAAATAAGTGGTATTATTAAAAAGGAAGCAGGATAATGTGTTATTTAGCATAATATGAAATTTAAACAGTAYCACCTCAGATAGATTTTAAAATGCTTTTAGTAGCACCTGGTTGTTTATACATCTTCTGTGGTGAAAAGGTCAATAGAAATTCACCTCTAAGGTCACAGTTGCTAAGCAACTGTTTTCAGCAGTTCTGCAACACTGATCAAGCATCTTCTGTTCCACTGGCTGCTTTCAGAATAAACCCGAGTCGCATCCTACCTGGCCTTCCAAGCACCCTGAGCTGCTTCTGCTCCTCCAGGAGAGCCATGGAAAGGATACGGCCCGGCACCACCGGCCTGCGGTTCACCAGGGCGAAGGACAGCTCCGTCCTCAGGAACACCACGGAGGGCTTGATGAGGTGCTGCCCGAATCTCAGCATGATSGGTGTGGATCTGCAGGGTCTGGAAGAGACAATGGTTGAGATAATGAAGGGATTGACTCAGCCTTTCCAAACAATAAGGAATAAAATGACCAAATTGCCTAGGCAGCTTCCAACAGAAAGCGCTCAMCAAGGCTTTCGGTGTCTTGGAATGGTCGTTACATCTTCCCCAAAAATATAAATTTAGTAGAAAAGGCTTCTTTCCAAAGAAAAAAATTTACATATAATTTCTTAAACTCGTCTCTCACCATATTGGCAGAGCTACAAAATTCTAGAGAATGTAATTTCTCCCTCCCATTTTCATTTGTCCTGCATTGTAAACATCTGGGTCATATGTTCTTCGAAAAGCACAAATAGGATTTCACATTCTTTCTGCCACAAYGCAAATCAGTGCACACAGGATTTATGAAATAAACCACATTTTGTTAATCTCTCAATTAAATACATCTACTGAAGAAATACTGGCAAATTAAGAAAAGTGTATTTRAGCCATTTTCCATCCACACTTTCTAGCTTGAGGAACTAGGATGTGAAGACAATCAGTGCCACATTTTCTCATAGAATTCCACTTTCATTCATTAAAATTTTCTCTCTTCGTGATGAGAATGAAAATCTCTCTTAAATAGCTACAGCACAACTCTAACAGCATCTATTTTAGGTCTTTAAGCCCTAGAGTATTTAAAGTGTTTAATTCAATCAGAAATATCCAAGGTACTGCAGGGTAAAATATGAAGAAATGATGAATTTCATGTGACAATACTTCAGACACATCGGAAGCATTATACTCACATTACCAGCTTGAAYCAAGTGACTAACCAGAAAATTTGGTTTTATATCTTGTTTCAGATGGGGAAATCTACTGCTACAATCATGGAGCATCTTTTGTTGCAGTTCTTTTCTTGCAAGATTACTGCATTCAGTAAGACCTAAACTTGGTTCTTAWTCTGAGAAAGTTATTCTAAATTAACATCCCACTTGTACCTGCTCCCACAGAAAAGGTACACATAACAACCACCTCTAAGTGCACAAACTTTGAAAACATCTTTGTGAAAATACTTGTTCTTTTAAAGGAATTTCTGGCTTTATAGGGATCTGATTTCACAGAACTTAATTAAATTAAGGACAGATGCAGCTAGTCAGGGTTTACACCAGAAAAAYATGTATAAATCTTAGTATAAGACACAGTAACAAACCAGATTACTACATTTCCATGTAATAAACATTTTCTAAGCAAGCCCCATGTCTTATTTTATTTTTGAAAATCACAGATGAAAGGAAATGCTTGAGCAGACCATGGAAGAGTGGAGATTTTAACTATGCCTGTTTCAAAGATTTGAAAAGATTCTTCATTTTTTTCACATAAAGTCAACAGAAGATTAAGTGCCTGAGATGTGTCCCTTAGCATATATTAAACTTGAAACTTGACAGCATACAAAAATCAAGTCTCTTTAGCTATTAGAATTGCTTAGCGGAGAAAACACCTGCTATCTTGTGCTGATGCTTGAAAAAAAAAAAACTATTAGGAACTTCAATCACTCTTCCTCATTTCTCTTAAGCAGTCCATCAGCAAACATCAGCAATGCAGGGGGTTTTCATTCCAATTAAAACATGCAAGAATGTTTTTACCCAATTGAGCAGAGACATAGCTCTCTTTGCAATGAAGGAAATGTTTCTGATAAAGGAGACAAACACATTCCACAGACAGGATTACCCTCCAGTGATGAAACCATAAGCTGGTGTCCCCAGAAGCTGGAAAATTAAATGTACCACCTGCCCCTGCACCTGGCCATGCTATGGACAGGAATCAAAGTACTGCCAATAGTTTATTGTTCTGTCTTCCAGAACACTGATAAATAAAGGCACTGTCCAGAGACATAGGACAGACAGAAACAAGGCTTCAAAATAACAGATGCTGATTGCAAAATCTGATGATTTAACATTTGACTTGAGGAGGGAGAGAACCTGAGATTTTGGTGATCACCAGAAGTTCTCCAGTCAACTGCTGTCATGAGCAAAAACCAACAAAGAGCAGCAAAATCAAGTTGGTTTATTTTGGTTTATAACCTGACTACAGGTTGCTTATACTGTGTATTCATCATGCATCTTTACTTATCTAACTATCTGTCTTACTAAAAAAAAAAATCAGTAAAAGCACTAATCTTGTACCTCTCCATGATATAGTTTGATGAATTACAACCCAACTGGGTTGACCCAGAGTTATTAGAACATTATAAAATCTCACACACAGAACTAAAGCATGTATTAAAACACTTCCGGTTTGTTTACTATGCAAAAATGTATTTGAATAATGCATTTCTAAATCTTGATCCAGACTAAATAAACAAGGCATGTGTTTCAAACCAATATGTTTGAAATTGTTGTGCTATATAATATTGCAGACTTTGCAGTGCTACTTTCTCCAGTTCTGCAAAGGGATTATGGGAGACTTCTTAAACAATTATTCATGATCTATTATATATTACTTCAGCTGCCTTCTGCCCTAGTGATCCTCTGTGTTTTTCTGCAAAGCACGATCATCTGTGCTCAGAACCAACACAAATGCTAAAAAGTGCATTAGGGAAATAAATAATGGGTACAAGTGAAGTATCCACGACTGTGCAGCAACACACTGCAGTAAGGCTGGAATATTCCAGAGTGCAGCCAGGCAGGAAACTGCTACTAGCAGAGTGAGGTTTTAGTCATCTGAACTCTACCTGCTTATTGCTTGGATGGCCTGTAAACCAGCAGGAATCAACAGAGCACAGGYATGAGCACACAGATCATGAGATGCAAATCGTGTGTGCACAAGGCTTCCCAGTTCCCAGATTGGAACGGCCGTGCTAAGTCTGTTCCTCCAGGGATTTCTATTTTTCACATGAAGAGGAGGTCACTGCCAGATAAACCAGAAACTAAATATAATTGGTTAAAGATGTTTCATCTTTAATGATGGTAGCCTTTCTAATCCCCAGTAATAAGGAGGACAATTACATAGTAATGTTAGAAAATGAAAGAAATCCATTTCTGATTAAATTTCAGCCCAGTTTAACACTGATTCTATTCTGACTATTCAGATGAAAAGTGTATTTACTCTTCTTCATATTGCAGATATACATTACATTGCCTATTTCATCTGCCTCATTTTCCTAATTAAATTCCCTTCAAGCTGTGTTACTGCAGTTGTAGGTGGGAATAAGTATTAAAGGCTAACACAGCAAGTAGAGTAATTTTACAGCCACAACAGACCTCAAATCTGTACAACCCATACTAGGAAAGGAAACAAAAAAAAAGACACTGGCAATATACATTACACCCTGAAAAAAAGGAATGCTAAAATTAAGAAAAATCTTGAAATATTTTAAAATATTTTATAGCACTGTAAAATTTTAATATGCATATTGGATTTCCTCAGTCTACATAAATACTACTTAAATGTATTTTTGAGAGGAAATCTAAACACATTTCTCAGTTTTACAGATTTGTTCAGTTTTGGGGTTAAGGGCTTTGTTTTGTACTTCRGTTTTTAACCATCATAAGCCATAGAATCACTGGTGTCGAATACACAGCAAGAACTCTGAACAGAAAATAAGTACAGGTCAGTAGGACATCAAGATTGGTGTATGCTTGTTACATGTCATCTCAAGGGTCAGAGAGCTGGAAAACTGTTGGAAATTACCTTCCCTGTGCTGATTACAAGGAGTGATGGCAGCAATTCTTTCAGGTTCTCTCCCTGTTGCCATAGACAACCCCATTGCATGCTTAATTGAGATGGTGTTGGTACTCCAAAATGCCTCTTTATTTTATTATACAATTACTCCKCCTTAAAACAAGGTGTTGAGATCAGCACCTGCTGGGAACCAAGCTCAAGGCTTTTGCTGAGCAATCCCCTGAGAACTGTTCTAGGAAAGCTGCATCTGGTTGTAATGGGAGAAGACGAGGTAATGCAAAATGGGCTACTAACTTCAAATGTGTGTATTAAAGGAAACCAATTACAATACCATTATCTCTCTGTGCTAACAGAAAGGACTGTTTTAGAAACAATCCCAGGAGTATTCTTAAATTTTAAAGTTTATTTTACCATATTAACATCACCTGTTCATGAATGTAGACAATCCTAATTCCAATACACAGTTTCACTGTAAAAACACTGCAAATTTATGCGGCAAAATAAAAACTTCTTTTTAAAATTTTTTTAAGGTCTTACTTTTTTTTTTTTTTTTTTTTTTTTTTCACCACAAGACAACTTGAGTTACACACTGTATTTAAGGGAATGAAGTACCTATATCCTTAAATTAATATTTGGCATTATTCCCTCCCAGAAGTTTGATTATGGGGAAAGTGATATTCCTACTCAGACATCTGAATTCTGCACCATATTCAAGAATGAAGACATGCCCTGCAGGCTACCTTCCCTCGTTTCATGCTTTGGAATGTTTGCCTTATTTTCTCCCCTCACCGCCACTTTGTGAGGATGAAATCTGCAAGAGTCAGAATATTACTCATTTAACTCAAGCACCTAGAAATGAACGTCCTTGCTAGCAGCCAAGATTTGACATTTTCATCAAGAAACCCCTAAAAAACACTAATAAAAAGAAATAATTTTATTCTAAAATCACTTAGCTTTTCTACTAGCCCTAAGTCCCTAGAACAGCTTCATACCTCAAATCCTCCCTTGCACAARATTTACCTACATATTTTGTCTTCCAGTTCCAGAAAATGGCCTTAATTAAAACCCCTCTCCCTCTCAGTSAGCCAAAACATCACATGCTATGCTATTTCTGTTCTGAAAAAGCCAAGAAGAATTACAAAACTAGAAAAGGTACTCCTGTATCTTTGACAGCCATAGCCTAGATTCTCTCCATGGGGATGGTGTTTAATGCTCTACACGAGGTTGAAGGGAAAAGCTTGCGTGGATTATTTTCCATTTTCACCACCCACAGAAGCTTCTGAACTGAAAGTCCATTAAATGTGATGCATGCAACCAATCCTGTGGGGTTGACAAGGACTGATTTTTCCCATCAYAGA